ATCAGGCGCACCGCCATGGATCCATTCTAGGGCGGGTTCTGACCTTCTCTCCCTCATATCGATATGTGTATAAATAAATACGTACATACATACATACATACATTCATACATACATACATACATACATACATATAATATATAGATACATATAAAGACAGAGACGAAGTACTCCCTGAGACCCTTAGTCCAAGACACTCCGGCGCGAGTCCCCAAGCCTTGAATGCCCAGAGCCTGCGTCCTAAGACCCCCGGACTTCACGTGAGAAAGAAGCCCCCGACAGCTACACCCGGAAGCCGGTAATGGTAAGAACAATGATGATAATAATAACAATAATCACGATAGTAATAGCAATAACAATTACAACAATAGTAATTCTTTGTCACCCAGTTGGCAGAGGGAGAGAGAGAGAGAGAGAGAAAGAGGAGAAGACAAATCACAAGAATAATCATAACAATAATAGTTATAACCAAAACAATAAATCTGTGTGCTTGCCGTGCTGCCGCCGCAGAGTGCGCCAACCAGGGCTCCAATGTTAATGATGGAGCTGAACAGGGAGCCTGGTTAGGCTATCACACTGTAGGGCTCACTTCCAGGAGAAGCCGCGGCCTTTCGAGCTTCGGTTAGAACATTTTCTGCCTTCCTCACTGGGCACCACAGGACTTAGAATGGCCTTAGCACGCTGCCAAGACTTAGAATGGTCTTAGCACGCTTCCCGGTCTCTTGAACGAGTTCCATGCTCTGCGGTACACATGGGAGCTTATAGCACTCCAAAGTAGAAGGATCCTCATTCATAAGGGACCCTTAAGTTGGCCTCCTTCAGTGCGCCTAGGATTGTCTACCCAAGAAGCTCGAGAAGGCTATCAAACGTCATCCCTTCATTTCATATCATCCCTTCCCTGGTTTCTTGGTGTGTATGTACACGGCAACGTACACACACATTAATTTCATTTGATTTCATTTCGTTTCATGTCATGCCGTTTGGAATTCATCCATTCATCCGTTCACCCGATCACCGATTCATCTAGCTATCCATTCATCATTTCATCCATCCAGGTCCATCCATCCATCCATTCCGGCTTGTCTCATTCTATTCCATTCCGTTCCACCTGATGATATTCCTTCCCGCCTTCCGTCCTTCCGTCCGTCCTTCCTTCCTTCCTTTCGTCATTCTTTTTTCATTCGTTCATCCATTCAATAGCTAGCTCGTTCGTTCGTTCGTTCGTTCTTTCGTTCGTTCGTTGGTTCGTATACACACACATACAGATACATGTATATATATATATATATGTGTGTGTGTGTGTGTGTGTGTGGTTGTGTGTGTATGTGTGTTTGTATATATATATATATATGTGTGTGTGTGTGAACGTATGTATGTATATATACACACATGTACACATGCAAGTTCACATACGTATGTATAATATATATATATATATATATACACACACACATAAATACACATATAGGTAGTAATAAACAGATCGAGTCAAGTAGAGCGAAACAATGACCGAGAAGAGAGATAGAGAGAGAGAGAGAGTGGAATTAGTTTTTTAAAAGAAGAAAACACCAACAGGCATAGCATGCTGCCTTCATGTGCTATAGCTCTGCGTCTCTGGGGCTCCAAACCTTCGGTGCCTCCTGCCCATGGCACGAAAGACATCCAAAACCACTCGTCTTGAACACAAGCAGTTGGATACCGAGATCAGAATAGACCAATCTCCAACCTCTAACACTTCTATAACACTGCCTTGTGTTTGTACCCCAGGACTGCAACGTGGGACATCTACCCCTTGAATGACATGCCGAAGCGGGAAGCCGCTAACTTGGACATGCCTTGTGCTGATG